GTCCAGTAATCCCAGAAAAGTCTGATTATTTCCTTTTCCCCAATGAACGTCACTCTCGTAAAAGGCCTCAGATCCCTTTGGGGAAGGCTAGGAGAAAGACTGACATAGATTTTGGGCAATGTAGTGGGGTCCTTCCTCAAAGGGACCTGGCCTCCCCTTCATTCAAGGGGTTGTGGGTCTGTAAACTGACTCAAGTCAGGGAACTGATTGAGAGATTGTGACTGTGTATTATGGCGATTCAATCTTGGTTGCTGTTCACGTGACCTAGAATTCTTCTGTCTATACAGATCAAGTAAATATTTAGTAGGTTTGCCATGTATTTCACTACTAGGAACACCATGAGCAAGTAGCCAATGCCCTAATTCCACATGAGTCAGACTATTCTGATTACTGTTCTGACTCTGCTGTCCATTATGGTAACCATGCCCACCTTGCCTTTGTCGATTAACTGCTGCCACTTGGCCCCTACTACCACAGGGTCCAATCAGCCCCATCATAGTTAAGTGTCTTAGTTCAATTAGAGCAGTTCCCACTGTCAAATCAGATTTACATATGCTGGAGCTCCCTTCACAAATTTATTCCTCATGGTACTGGTGAAAGGTGTGTCTTCTGGACTCTCCATTTCTGGCTCTAGGGATCTAATCTGATAAATCCATTCTAACAGGCCAATTTCCCTAAGCCTCTGGATACCTTCTTCTACATTATACCAAGGCAGGTCTGGTACTTCAACTTGAGTTAAGGTAGGCCACTGCATAATCCATGCCTCAGTAAGCCAACCAAATAAACTATTAGATCCTTTCCTAACCTCTTGAACTGAAACATTGAATGAAGAATCCGTACTTAGTGGGCCTAAATCAATAAACTCAGACTGATCCAATCTTACATTCCTTGCACCATTATCCCACACCCTCAGTAGCCATTCTCATACATATTCTCCAGGTTTCTTTCTGTACATGTTAGCAAAATCAAGTAGGTCTTTTCGGATATAGCCAGAAAAGTATCAAATATCTGATCACCCAGAGTGTCACTTCTCACAAGCACTTGATCTACTGGTGGTGCTATTTTGCATATTAATTTTGGCACCTCATGCCACGGTTTAGCAGGGCCCTCTTTAGTAACAGATGCAGGGTCACTAGTGTCTTTAAGATTAATCAAACCAGGGAACAATTTAGGAAGCCCATCCTTATGATTTTGTTTCTCTAGAACCACTCTCAGTACCAAATGTGTTAGACTGGGTTCTCTAAAGAAACAAAAACCAAAAAAGCTTATATATATGTATATATAGAGAGAAATTTATCATAGGAAAATGTCTCACACACTTATAGAAGCTGGCAAGTCCAAAGTTCCCAAATCAAACTTCAAGCTGGAGGCTTTTCCTGGCTCTTGCAACCTCAAGGGCTGAGGAGCTCAAGGCTGGCAGGCAGTACACCAGCTGTTGACTCCAACGAATGACGAATCCAAGATCTCCAGGTGAAATGGTGGACTGTTCACTCACGGACAGTTGTAGGTGGCACAACAGAATCCCGATCCACAGAAGAGTGTCTCTCTTCCCAGGATGTCCTTGGATATACTGGAAGCAGGCCATACCCCCAGGGAAACTCCCTTTCAACAGATTGGCCACTCAGAACACAGTCATCTGATCCCATCATGGGAACAACCATACCACAACAGCTCAAACCACACAGAATTGTGATCCAGCCAAGTTGACACACAGCTCCAACTATCACCCTCATACACTGTTGGTGGCACCATAAAATGGAGCAAACACTGTGGAATACGGTATAGTGCTTCCTTAAAAGGTTAGAAATATAAGTATCATACAATCTAGCAATCCCACTGCAAGGTATCCTACAGAAATAAGAGCCATGACACAAAAGGATATATTTACACTCATTGCAGAACTATTCATAATAGCAGAAAAGATGGAAACCAACTATATTCCCATTAATGGATAAATGGATAAATAACTATGGTACATACACACAATGGATTACTATGGAAAGTTACAGAATATGATGAATCTGCAAAACACTTCATAACAAGGATGAACCTGGAGGACCTTATGCTGGGGGAAATTATTCACAAAAGGACAAATTTTGCAGGAGACCGTTACTATAAAAGTTAAGAAAAGATTTACAAATGTAAAAAACATTCTTTGAAGCTTACCAGGGGTAGAAGGTGAAAGAAGTATAAACTACTAACTAGAGGGTAAACACATATTAACTTGGATGAAAGAAAAGGCAATATACAATAAGGGGGAGTTCAGCACAAAATGATCAAGGCAAAGGAAGACAGTGGGAGGAACACAAGAGTTAAAGGCAACAAAAGTAAATACGATTATATACATAATCCTGTAATTGTAGTAATAATAATAATCTACAAGTGGATAAATAGATAGACACATAACCTGAACAGGTAACTGAAGGCAAATGAAACTACATTCATGAATATACATAGGTTTCACAAAGTATATTTCTACACATGTATTTATATGTGCTACAAATATATCCATAAATTTATTAGCGCATACAGGGGGCACTGTTATAAAAACTTCTTAGCCATAACCAAATACTTGGAAGGAATGAGTTACTGGGTCTGAAGGCTCAGGACCATAGTTTTGGGGACATCAGGTTCGACTGGAATAACAAAGTCCTCAAAGCCAATGTTCCACATTCTACTCTGTTGAGTAGTATCTGGGTTCTCAAAAGCTTGTGAGGTACAAATGTTGGTTTCTTCTTATCCTAAGCAAGAAGAGTAAAGAAAATCAAAGACAAAGGGAAATAATTGGTCCAAATGACCAATGGATCATGTGAACCTCAGCCTCCATGACTCTGAGACCAGAAGAAATAGATGGTGCACAACTACCACTGCTGACTGCTCTGAAAAGGATCACAACGATCCTGGATAGAGTGAGAGACTAATGTAGAATAAAATCCAAAATAATAAAAAAAGACCAAGATTGTTGGTCTGATAGACAGACAATGGTGGAAACTCTGAGACAATGGCCCTTAGACACCTTTCAGGCCTGGACTAAACTTACCCCCAGGGCTCAACTTTCAGTCAAGTGATACACAAGCCTGTAAGGTGAATAATAACACCATGGAAGTATGCACTTCTTGTAACAGTCAATTAAAGGAGATCAAAATGGCTGCACTTGTCCAGTGATAAAGCTCAGAATGCAGAAGGGATAGGAAATAACACCAATCAGCAATGGTAAACATAGGGAGGAAGCAGAAAGAGTGCTGTTGCATTGTAGGGACTGCATGCAGTCATTATCATGAAGCAAAATGTGTATAAATTCTTGAATGGAAACCAAGTTGTTCTGTATACATTTACATTCACCAAAATCACAATAAAAAGCTAACGAAAGAAAAAAATTGTCTTCAAAATGCATTTACCTTGGAGCTTTCTACTAAGTTCAAGTTTTTCCTGTTCAAGGCGTTTAATTCTTCTTTCATAAGCTTCAGTGGCTAAGTTATTATCTAGAGTCCTCTGAACATTAACATCAAGATCCATTGAGGTGGGACCAGCTGTAACTCTTAAACAGCTCCGATCAGAAAGAACACTGAACAAAAGAAAAAAAAATACATGATTCATATTGAAGTAAAAAGTTTGAAGAATAAAAGATACGAATGAAATGTCTTACATGAAGTTGTTCATTTGAGACATGAATTTGAGTATCATTACCTTGTTACAGTGAGCCACCTATAATAACTGTAAAAACTACTTGAAAAATCACTTAGAAACATTTTTTAAAATAGAAACTTAAATTCCCTAAATTTTCTTGAATATCTTTTTAAATAACCACAAATTCTAAAACAAGGTTTAATGAAGTGTTATCGAAAGGTTAAAACAATTTGACCACCTAAGAGAAATCATGAGGAGCTCTGGTAGCGTAGTGCCTAAGGCACTTGACTGCTAACCAGAAGGCTGACAGTTCAAACCCACCAGCCACTCCTCAGAAGGAAGGTTGGGCAATCTACTTCTATAGTGATACCTCCTCAGAAACCGAAGGGGGGGGTCATTATGATTTGGGTCCGACTCCATGGCACATAACAACAACAAGAGAAATCATAGTCTAAAGCACCATCCATGGCCTTCTTTACCAGAATGTGAAGCTCAAAAGTGAAGTACTTCATTTAACTCAATGCAAATTAAAGTATTTGAGGTGCTGGAATACATCAGTGAACAAAATAGACAAAAATCCCTGCACATAATAGAGCTCACATTCTAATGACAGAGATAGAGAGAAACAGGAAAAAAGTAAAATAGTCAATATGTTAGAGAGTATTAAATGCTAAGGAGAAAAAAGCCAGAAGAGGAAATGAAATTGAAATTTTAGACAGTGGTCAAGAAAGTCATCACTGAGAAGGTAACTTGGTAATAAAGCCCTAAAAGAGTGAAAGGATCAGCCAAGGGATGAACAGGAGAAAAGCATTACAGGGAGATGAACAGCCCTGAGACAAGAGCATGCCTGGCATGTTCATTTGGCTGAAAAGGAGCATAGTGTGAATGGAGTGGAGTGCACAAGGGGAAAAGTGACAGCAAATAAAATAAAAAAGGTAAAAGTGAGCAGTCATGTACAGCCTTGTCATCTTTGATCTGAAGTTAAGAAAGGAAGCTGCTGGAATTGGGGGGCAGGGAAGTGACAGGATCTCACTTATCTTTTAATAGAATCACTAGACAGGTTCTAGGAAATATAAGAAATGAAGTAATAAACATATTAAATGGGTAGTTGTGAGAGAGATTAAGCAGAAGAAAGGAGAGGGGGTCACAGCTGAAGAGACACATGTGGGAGTCATCAGCAATTATCTGGCAGAACCCCTATAGGACTCTGCTAATTCCTGCTCCACTGCTAAGATTCTGAATTCTCTATTTGTTCTATTCTTCCTTTTCCATGAGCTAAGATTCTTAGATGTTCTATTCATTTTGTATTATCTAACTTTTCTCATTAGAATCATTAAATATTTTTTATTTACCCTTATAGCTTACTTTTTGTAAAACTTCAATTCATTTTAATTTGCTTTAAATTGTCCAAATTATTTTAACATTTGAAACTTACCAGCTACTAGTATATGTAAAACCAACAAATGGCAGATGGTGGCCAGAAAATGCAGCATGTGTTGGTGGGGGCATTGTTTCCTAAAAGAAGAAAAAGCATCTAATAAGAAAGAAGTAATTATCACCTATAGGTTGGGGCTCTAAATATTAAATGTTACCAGGAAATACACGACTGTTCAATTTAAAAACACTGATAAAAGTTCTTATCTGCCTTGAATAAGGGTACTGAACAATGAAAAGTGTTATAAAATTAATATAAAAATTCATGGTATAGAAGCAAAACCTTTGGGAATGAAATAACAGATAAAGTTCAAATTTACAATGTTAAATAATAGACCAAGTTCAAATTTAAAATGTTAAATAATAGACCAAGAATGCTAAGAACATAAACATTTTATTCTCATTTTCCTACATTTTCATATAACTCAATGATTTAAAGAAGAGGTTGACAAATTATGCTGCCCTGTTTCTCTGTATGACCCACAAGCTAAGAATGGTTTTTTCATGTTTAAAATATTGTAAAAAGAAAGAATGAATATGCAGCAAAAACTGTATGTGACGTGCAAAACCTAAAACATTTATTCTTTGATCATGTATAGAAAAAGCTTGACCACTGATTTAAAGAAACATGTCTAAGAAATTAATACCCAGTAAAATCAAATGTACAAGAAATATTATATGAAACTGAAAAATCTCCTAGGAGGAACTATGAAAATCTGTACAGTTGGTGTTTTTTTTTTTTTTTTTAAATATATGATTGAGAAATCTGTAAATGAAAAAAAAAATCTCAACAACATTGTTTTATTGTCTTACCAAGTATTTTTCTGTTATAGTAATGATAAATTAACTGCACTGAGATCCTTGGGATTGATCCTGACCTAAGAAAAGAATCCTAAGACAACCCAAGTTATCCTTTCTTTATACCTAATGCTAGCATTAGTACTCATCATTGTTTAAGCATTCTATTAAAAAAACACACAGGACATCGAGAAGATCCTGACTCCTAGCAACCCCTCCTTGGGTTTCTGAGGCAGCATCTCTACAGAAGTAGACTGTCCAATCTTCCTTCCAAGGAGTGGCTGATGGGTTTGAACCTCCAGCCTTCTGGTTAGCAGTCAAATGCCTTAGGCACTATACCACCAGAGCTCCCACAGTATAAAATAGGCATTCCAAAAATAAACTGGTCAAGTTACATTAGTGTGCACTAAGAAATCTTGGTTTGTTTCTAGTTAATCAATTAAAATCATAATTCATATTTAGCAAATAGATGAGAAGGAATAAGAAAGAATATGTTAAGTTTTACATGGAGGAAAAAATTACAATCTATTCTGTATAAAAAACCAAACTCACTGCCATCGAGTGGATTCAACTCATAGTGACCCCTCCTTGGGATTCTGAGGCGTATCTCTACAGAAATAGATCACCCAATCTTCCTTTCGAGGAGTGGCTGGTGGGTTTGAACATCCAGCCTTCTGGTTAGTAGTCATATGCTTTAGGCACTATGCCACCCGAGCTCCCATTCCATATAAAGACTAATAAAATTTAAAAAATGTTTTTATCAGATTTGTTGATAAAACAAATTTTGTCACACAGAGAAATGAAGGGATAGTCACAGGGAGGAGAGCTTTTTATGGTTGGGTATTGTAATGTGGGCAGTGAAACCAAATGTGCATGAACTGTTGTGAGTAAAACTAATATGCTTTGTAAATCTGCATCCAAATCACAATAAAATTTTAAAAAAAAATTTAATAAATACTTAAAAAAATAACTCATGTTTGTTTTCTATTAATTTATCAGTTTTAAGTCATTGTTTAATTTGTAATTTGTTTATTATAACTTTTTAGTGTATTAATTTAAAAGTTATTTTGTTTACTTTTTTAAAAGTTATACACATATGCGTGGTCTGATATTGAAAACCTACAAATGTGTATAATGTATAAAGACAGACTCTCTTCAACCCCTCTTCTTTCCACTCACTCAATTCTTTCCAGAGGCAAACTATTATTACTAGTTTTTTTTTTTCTATCTTATAGTCTTTTCCTTTTATTCAATGAGTATTTAGCCCATTTACATATAATTTTCATATAGATATGTTGAGTTAGTTCTATTTTATTGCATCTTCTCATTTTTCATTATATGGTTGATTTCTTTTTTGTGTTTTATGTGTCACATGGACCAGGCAATGTTTTGTTCTGTTGTACAGGGAGTTGCTATGAGTCAGAAATGAAACAATGGCACCTAACAACATCATGTGTCACATGAAAAGGTTTAGTGTTTGTCTTTACACTATAGCTTTATATAATATCTTAAGTTCTCAATTTCTTCAAAAAAAATTTTGACTCCCTTCTATAAGTAATGATGGTATTAGCATATATTACCAATTCTTACTCCCACATGCTAATTTTTAAAATTTTGGTAAAGATATATATAACGAAACATTTGCCACATCAACATTATTTACATGCACAATTCAGTGACATTAATTGCACTCATCATTACGTGCAATCATCACCACTATTTCCAAATTTGCCATCACCCTTACTGGAACTCAGGGTCCCTGAGCAACAACCCAACCAATTCCACTCTCCTTCCGCCCTATTCCTGGTAACCACTGATAAACTTAGGTGTCTATACATTTGCCTATTCCAGATATTTCATGTAAGTGAGATCATATAATAATTGTCTTTGTGGGACTGACCTATTTCACTCAGCATGTTTTCAAGGCTCATTCATGTTGTGGGATGTATCAGGATTGCATTCTTCTTTATGGGTGAGAAATATTCCATTGTATGTATAAACCACATTTTTATTATCCATTCGTCTATTGCTGGACATTGAGGTTGCTTCCACATTTTAGCTATTGTAAATAGTGCTGCCATGAACACTGGTGTACAAGTATCTGTTTGTATTCCTGCTTTCGATTCTTTTGGGTATACACCTAGAAGTGGAATTGCTGGGTCATACAGTAATTCTGTGTTGAACTTTTTGGGAACCACTTATCAATTTTAGTAGTATGTAATACTGGTTTTATTTTTATATTCCTTATTCCGGCATTTATCAAGTGTAAATGACATCTATTTGGTTCTAGGTTTAAAAGATGAGACAGGATAAATCTTCTTACAGCAATTTAAAACTTACTGTTAAAGCTGAATAACTAGGATATGTTTCTAACTTGATTTTTCTATGTTAATTATTCCTGGGATGTGACTTGTACATTGAATGTGTTAAAAGTTTTCCTTATTTTCTAGAGTTATATTTTGAACTAGATCTGGAGGAATTTTTCTGTTCCTTTATTTCAATCTTCTTCTACAAAGATACTAATTATATGTATATTAGATTTCTTTTGACAATATTTTGTGTATTTTCTTTCAAACCCTTTTGAACTCTGTTAATTTCTATTCACCTTGTTCGTTTTCACTATCCCGTCCTTTATGGTCTTGATTATGTTTTTGACAGCATGTTTTACTATTTTGCATCTCACTGGTATTTCATTTAGGGAATTTTTTCCTTTTGTTCTGAACTCTACTATCTCATGTTTTATCTTTGTTTTTCTTGCTACACTCGTTTTTGAGCTTTTATGTTTCTATACTGTGCTCATTTCATAGACAATTGGTTCTTTTTAATTCATGGTTTTATGTTTAGTCAGTTTTCGTCTCCTCCATGAAAAGAATTTATATTTTCTATTCTATATTCTATTCATGTCCTATTTATTTTTATCATTCATTTCTTTTTTTTCTTTTATTGTCTTTGTACTGATCTTGTATTGGTTCCTATTTTATTATAATACATTTTTTTTAAATGAAATCAGTTCTTCTTAAACAAGTATTATGTTCCTTACTAAGAGAATTTTCCTTTTGACAAAGGGTTTCATATTTGAGTTCTTTTACCTTTCACTTCTCTCCAGTCAATTCTTCTTTATATATTATGATTCTAGGAGAAAGTTTGCATTTCTATTTATTAGTCTTCTATTAGTTCCTTTGGGTATCTTCTAAGAAAAAAAGGGAAACTCGCCATCTTTAGTACACTATTTTAGAGACAAATGTTTGTCATTTTTAAAAGCCAGCTACAAAGTCTTTCCTTAACCACCAATGCAGGCCAAAACAGCCACTGTAAAAGTTTACTTATCCATCTGTAAATGAATTTCTTTTCCCTAAATTTTAGTAGGTAAAGAATAGGAAAAAACAATTAATGTTATACACAATAAGAAAAACTAATAAAACAATCAATAGGGAACAATTATTAATCATCTGAAGCAAGCTACTCGCTGATAATAAGTTTTCTATCAGGATTATAAATTAATGTCTCATTTAGGGAAAAAAATAATACAGATATGAATATAATTAATTGTTATCAAAGTAAACAATAAAGTGGAACATGATTCTACAACTAGATTCATAAAAATATTTTGATAAGTATTTTCAAATTCAAATTTTGGACAACAAACCCATTAATCATACTGCTTTTATTTATACCCAAGAAGATTCTGAAAATCTTAAAAGAATGCTACCTCTATAACTGGTGGATATCTTCAATATCTATTACAGATAAGACTGATGCTGTTGTTGGTGTTAGGTGCCCTAGAGTCAGTTCCAACTATACTGACTTCACGCATAACGAAACACTGTGTGGTCCTGTGCCATCCTCACAATCCATGCTATGCATGAGCCCACTGTTACAGCCACTGTGTCCATCAATCTCTTTCAAGGATTTCCTCTTTTTTGCTGACTCTACTTTACCAAGCATGCTATCCTTCTTGAGGGACTGGTCCCTCCTGACAAAATAAAGTACAAGAACCAAAGTCTCAGCTTTCTGAATTCTACGGAGCATTATTATTTTTTTTTTCTCCCTTCCTGTCTGATCTTTTTTTTTTTTTTTTAATTGTGATTTGGGTGAAGATTTACAGAGAAAATTCACTTTCCATACAGCAGTTCACATATACTTTATCTCATGTCATTGACCATAGTTTA